TTTTCAGCCTCTCTCCATTAAGGATGATGTTGGCCGTTGGTTTTGCATAGATGCCCTTTATTATGTTGAGAAATTTCCCTTCTATACCTATTTTAAAAAAATATCTAGAGATGGATTTAGATAAGAAACTTTCTGAAATATATATTAACCTTATTTAAAAATGTATATTTCATCGTGTTGGTTAATCAATACTAATTTTGATAGTAATGTCGGAATATTGTTCTCACTGGAATATTCTAATTTAGTGCATTTAAATCCTGAATGACTCTTGTATCTCTTTGACAGAGTGAAGCAGGTGTTAAGGAATTCCATATTGTACAAGTGTCAAGTAGTAGCAAACACTGGAAGTTACAGAGATCTGTAAATCTCTCTGAAAACAAAGGTTTGTGTCTTTTTTCCTCCTTCATAATAAATTCTGACACTTTTGCTGTTGATTTTTCAGAGTAGTACTAGAATATCATAAGATTTCTTATTATCATAACATTTCTTATAATTAACTTTTTAAAGCCTTAAATTATGCTTTCATTAGTTAATGTGACTAAATCAAATTACCTACCTTAATCCATCCTTTCCTGTCCTTATTCTCTTCCACCACACCTTCTTTACTTGCATTTTCTTCTTTTTTTTTAATTGTAAAAATGAGTGCCTGAGTACATGCTCACTGTCAACAACTAAAGTAGTATAGATAACATATGAGTATGCCTACTGCTTGTAAGAATGGAGTGAAGCTGGCAAAATGGTATTTTTTCTTACTGGAAAAGAATTGTTTAATATATTTCAAAAGATGTAAAAATGTTTAAACCCTTAGCCTCACATTAAACCTTATTTTTGGAATTTATACAAAGGAATTAATTCAAACTATGGGAAAATCCATGTAGCCAGAGAAGCTTATTGCAAGATTATGTTTAATAGGGAAGAATTCAGTGTAGTTTTAATGTAACTTATACTACAACTCAGATTATTTGCAGTCATTAAAATATATTAGCATTTAAAAGTACTTGATGGTGGGACAATGCACCATAGCCAAATATATGCATCTAATAAATTATACATGTGAAAAAATACCGAAAGAGAGTGAAGAAATGATAGAGTGGTAGGACTGTGGACTCTCCATTCCCCAGGTTCTGATCTTTGAAACTTTCTGTATCTGTAATGTCATATACACACACATATGAACATGTATTTGGAGAAAATTGGATGTTTTTCTTTTTAAGAGCTTAGTGAAGATTCACTTCATTGAGATGAAAGCAAAGACCCTTTTTCATTAATATTACTTATGATTATGAATTATTACCCAGTTTGACTAAAGACGTCTGAATAATGAATTAGGTTTTACTCTGCTGTAAGTTGAAAACGACCTTTGAAATTGTTTTTTCTTTCTAGATGCCAAACTTGCCAGTAGGGAGAAGGGAAAGTTTTGTTTCAAGGCAGTAAGATGTAAGGAAAAAGAAGGTAAATTCATTTTACTTTCACACTTTCTTAAGTGGTCCTTTTATATTTCATGCCAATGATATGATTAGTTTGTTTTCCCCTGTTTTTTAGCTGCTACACAGTCCTCAGAAAAATATACCTTTGCAGATATCATCTTTGGAAATGAACAGGTATGCAAATAAGCACAACAGTGTTTAATTTAAAAAGTCACAGTTCTGGAATATTTGGACAAAGCTGTTGCTTCAGTAATCCCCAAGCTCTTTGGAGGATGAACATCTTAACTTTGTTGAGTATTGTAACCGATCTTCAATCCCCAAGACAAACCAAAAACGCTATATGAATCATACCGTTTTAATTAGTTATTTAAAATTAACTTTGTTTTAAGAATATTTTATATCACGTGAAACAAGTATAGTCCTTGGGATTAAAAAAGAAACAGGATTATATGAAGGAGTCTGTTTATTAGGGAAAATGGTCACAATGGAAAATATGGATGATCATCTCCTGGATTTTGACATATATGGCTCTGAGACTCAAGTAATAAGCTAGATACATAAGGCTCTGTTGTGATTTTAAATGTATTATTGTCCGGGGCAGTGCTCCTCCAACTTAATTATGTGTAAGAATCACCTAGAACAGTGGTTTTCAAACTTTTATAAGAGTGTGTATGAATCACCCGGGAATCTGCAAATTCTGATTCAGTAGGACTGGGGTAGGACCTGAGGTTCTAAATTTCTATAAGCTCCTAGGTGACGTTGAGGCTGTCAGTCTGCAGGCATTATTTTTGAATATCAAGGACACAGAAGATTTTGTAAAAATGCAGGCTTTGCCTTGCTGCCTCTAAAACTCTCATTCGTTATGTCTTGGGTGGAGCCTGGGAATATGCATTTTCAACCAGCCCTGCAGATAATCTGAAGAGGTGATCTGGGAACATTGCTTTGAGAAACACTGGACTGAGGGTGTAAAATTGCATGTAATTATGTGCTGTTACTGGCATTATTTCTTCCTTGTGCTCTTCTTGGTAATTCCAAACATCCTCTTTGTAACTGTCTTTTGACCATTTGAAGAAGCAGCTATTTAGAAATACCTCAGGTCACCAAGAGCCCAATAATTCCAAAGCGTGTATGACTTTTGGAGAGAGATTTTGCTTCCAGAATGGAATTTAGCTTTCACCTTTTTTTTTTTTTTTAACCAGGTTGAGAGGATTTCAGTCGTTTGTTTTGTTCATTTCTTTTTTTAATTTTAGAATCCCCTTAAAATACATTAAGGTTGAAATTAATTATATTTGCTGCTAAATAATTTTATGTAAGTGCACTGAAAAGGCAGACACAAAGACATTTTCCCTTTTGATGAATTTAGTTGAATAAATAGAATTTCCCAGGCACTACAGATGAATGAGAAAACTATAGAGACAGTGGTTTACTAGTAAAAGTCCACTCCTAAGGGGGAAAAAATATATATTTATTAATGTTTAATAATTAACTCTAAAGTTTTAACATGCATGTAATATAGCCTATAATGCGAAAACCGTTAAGTGTAGAGATTTTATTATGAAGCACAGTGTTCCATTAATTAAGGGAAATCCTGAGTCCACTTAAAATTCTTTTCTCCTGCTTTCTCCCTTCAAATATAAAGATCAAGGTAATGCGAATGACCATTTAAATATTTTTTTCCCATTGGATAGTGCCAAATGTTCTAAGTATTTGAATGAGAAATACTTCCATTACTTTAATAGTTAAAAAAAAAAAAAATCCTTTCTTTTCAACATCTTATTTATTTATTTAGAGATTATTCATTGTCCCTGGATGTTTGGAAAGTCAAAGCTAATATCACCAGAATATAGTTTAATTATTCTGAGGTGATAGCTTTAAGATTCAGAATAATTTGTACCAAATTTTTTTAGGAGTTTAAGTCTTAAAGTGGCTTCCCTGTATTCAACCAAATTGACAGTAATGTCAAAAAATTATTGAATAAGCCTTTTTGGTATATAAAAGTTACAGAAATAAAAGTTTTGGTAGGGTACATTTAATTGAAACTAAATATAAGTGATACAAATATAATTTTTTAAAAATTGTGTTTTTGGTGAACGTTTACACAGGCAGTTAGGTTCTTGTTTAACAATTTCTGTATAGTGACATTGGTTACATTTTTCATGATACGTCAGTATTCTCATTATTTGCATTCTGGTTGTTCTGTGTTTCCATTAATCTAGCTTCCTTGTGCCCCCTTGCCTTCTCATAATTTTTACAGGGCGTGTGTGTGTGTGTGTGTGTGTGTGTGTGTGTATGTATATATGATTTTTTTTTTAATTTTAAGTATTTATGTAGACGTGATTTTCTTTTTCTTTTAACAGATAGTGAGTTCAGCAAGCCCATGTGCAGACTTCTTTTATCAAAGTTTATCCTCTGAATTGAAAAAACCACAAGCCCAGCCTTCTGTACATTCAGAAAAACAGTCATTAGAGGATGCAGTGCGATTGATTCAAAAGTGCAGTGAGGTGGATTTGAATATTGTCGTATTATGGAAGGTATGTGTCATTAAATTATTTTCAGCAAGCCTCAGGTATGCTTAAGTCTTAGGTTGAAGAACAAATGTACGCTGCTATTTATATATATATTTTTGCTTAAATATTCCTGTTGCAATTATAGGATTACTATGAGTTGGAATCGACTTGATGGCAACAGGTTTGTTTGTTTTTTTTTTTAAATAACTTTTTAGTGCTTCTATAGTGACTTTTTTCTTTGGTGAAAGAAAAAAATTCATTAAAATTAAGTGACTTTCTTGCATGTGTTACTGTTAACTTCTGTGTTTTAGACATAGTAAGCTCCATGGAAACAGGTATTATTATTAAACTTTTTATTACGGCCATTTTCAAATACTATACAGAAGGAAAACTAGCGCATGAACCCTTAGGCACCTATTAATCAGGCTGCAGTAGCCCTTAATTTGTTGCTGTTCTTATTTCATCTATTTTTATTTCTTTATTTTTACTTCCCTTTTTTTTTTGCTGTAGTATATTAAACAGAAAGCAAAACTAGACATAGTATTTTATCTGTAAATGCTTTTGTATGTACATTTAACAGATGAGATCTTTTTCATTTAATATAACCCCACAATATCATTGTCTCACTCAACCAAATTAACTGTAATGCCTTAATTGTTATTTAATTGTTGGTCTGTGTTCAGTATTTCCAGATTATTTGAAAACATCATTTTACTTAAAAAGAAAAAAAATGAGATCCAGATAAGGTTCACACATGGCATTTGATTAATAACTCTTAAGTCTCTCTTAACCTGTAACAATTTTCCCTCCTTTTTCATCTCTCCTTTCTTTTTCTTTTTTAAAAATTTATTTGTTGAAAATACTGGGTCGGTCATTTGTTCTGCAGAATTCCCCACATTCTCCTTTTATATGATTTTGTATCCTCATGGCATTAGTTAACATTTCTTCAGCTTCTCTGCTGATAGTTAGATCAAGAGACTTAATTAGACTTGTGTTCAGTCTTCGGCATGTCCTAGTTGATGCTGTGTACTTGCAGCTGCATCACCTCAGGAAGAACAGAATGTCTGGTGGTCCCACCTTTATGACCATTGATCAGTGAGGTCAGGCGAGGACAGCCGTATCCCTCTTACCATATTTCCTATTAATCTTTCATCTAATGATTTTGACAGCTATTTATGATCATTATCTAGATTTATTATTTACTTAAGGGTTGCAAAATGATGATTATCTAATTCTGTATTTCTTCTGTATTTATTAGCTGTAATTGTTCAGTAAAGAAGTACTATTTGATTACCCTGAAATATAACCTATATCAGCAATACAGTGTAAATGCTCAACTCTTTCCTTTATTTATCAATTCCTCGAATAATGAGTTGTTGCCCTAGCAATCTGCCAAGGTGATCATTGAGGATTTTTTTTTAGCATCATTATGAACTCATGGATTTTTATATATTTGATGTTTTAGTTCATTGCAGTCATTTGATGCTAAAATTAGCTAATATTTGGCCAGTGGGAGCCCTTTAGATTGCCTCCTGTATCCTTTTGATATGACCCCATTTATTTTCAGTAGTTTCTTTGCTCTGAGGTAGAACAGACTTGAAAGCAGCTATTTACACTTAGTATTACTGGTTCCTTTCAGTGGGATTCACTTCTAGATGCCAGGAGTACTCACTGATACTGGTTTGTCCTTGCTTCTATGCTGTTTAAAAGGACAGAGCTAGGGATTATATACTTTTTTAGAAAAAGAAAATAAATTATGAGTTAAGTATATTTCCAGAATGAATCCTAGATTAAGCTTATTTCCAATTCACGTTAAAGAATACAGGGTTTTTACTTAATATTTTTACTTTTTGTGTATTTCTTACTCTAGAAATTCTTGTTAGTTTTAACGTGGTTATTTATTTGCTTCATCCTCCAGAGTTTCTGTAGAGTGAACCTATAAAACAAGGTACATTCAGAGAGATCTAGTTTCATTATTGTCTCTTCCCCCATTTTTCTCTCTCCCATGGTAAACATTTTTTATTTGTTTTTGGTTTATCCTCTCTTACTTTTGAAAATATGAGCAAATATATGCATATATCTTACACAAAATGTAGCATATTATATCCCTTTTTCTGCACCTTTGCATTTTTACTTACTATATCCTAGAGATCACTCTTTGATCCTTCTTATTCCTTTTTATAGCTGTTCAGTGGTACAGTGGTTAAGCACTCAGCTGCTAACTGAAAGGTCAGTGGTTTGAACCCACCAGCCGCTCTGTGGGAGAAAGATATAGCAGTGTGCTTCTGTAAAGATTACAGCCTTGGAAACCCTATGGGGCAGTTCTGCTCTGTCCTGTAGTGTCTGTATGAGTTGGAATCGACTTGACAGCAGTGGATTTGATTTGGTTTAGTGTTCTAGTCTGTGAAGTTTATTGATGGACATTTTGGTTATTTCTAATGTTTTGCTATTAGAAATAGTGCTGCCTTGTACATATTGAATTTTTAATTTTTACTATGTATTGTTAATATAGATTCCTAGAAATGGAATTGCTAGGTCAAAGGGTAAATGCATAAGAAATTTTGCTCACCATTCCTCTCTGAAGAGGTTGTTCCATTTTGAATTTCATCAGTAATCCATGAGTCCATGTTTTCCTCATTGGTGGAGTATGTTTTTACACTTTGTATTTTGCTCATTTGATACATTGAGAAATGGATTTCATTGTGATTTTAGTTTGTATTCTCTTATTAGGAGTAGGCTAGACATCTTTTATATGTTTAAGTGCTATTTCCTTTTTTTTCCCCTGTGAACGGTTCATGTTTTGCCCATTTTTCTGTCGATCGTCTTTTCCTTAATTTTTAGAAGTTCTTTTTATAATAAGGATATTAGCCTTTACAGATATAAATTACAAGTATTTTCCCAATTTTTCTTTTTACTTTGATTGATTGAATGTGTGTGTTGTGGGGGTTAACTTTATTATTTTCCTTTATTGTTTTTGGGTTTTTGAGTCATTATAGGAAAACTTTACTTACTCTCATGTTATAAAGGAATTCACCCTTGTTTTCTTTTGGTATTTCTATAGTTATTTCGTCTCTTCTGTCTCCTCCTTTACTTCTTCCTTGTCCTCGTCTTTGTTTTTGTCTTCTTTTTTACATTTAAATATCTGACCCATTGGAATTTATGCAGTGTGAAAAATTGATCCAGTTTTTATCATTTTCTATATGGCTATCCAGTTTTTCTAACACAACTCGATTGAGATGCTTTCATTATCGTATTTTAATTTTACATGTGTTCTTAGATCCACTTCTGGATTTCTGTTCTGTTCCATGGGTCTGTTAAGTTATATGCCAGTGCCACACTAATTATAGAAGGGAAGCAAGGATTTTTGTCTGTTTTGTTCACTACTGTATCCCCAGCAATGAAAACAGGCTACCTACTGTAGCCACGCAGGGAATATTGGTTGAGTGAATGAATGAGATTGCTTAGGCATTAGTTTTCCCTAAAGTCAGACTGAACTATAATACAGAGGAATTTTTTATGTTTTTAAAAATTTTGTATAATCTGCATGTATTACCTATTTTTTTTTTTTTTTTAAATTGTACTTCAGGTGAAGGCTTACAGAACAAATAGTTTCTCCTGAAACAGTATTACACATATTGTTTTATGACATTGGTTAACAACCCCACAACATGTCAACCCTCTCCCTTCTTGACATTTTTTTTTTCTTTTGGTGAAAATATACATAGCCTAAGATACATCATTTCAAAAATTTCTACATGCACAGTTCAGTGACATTGACTACGCTCTTCCAATTGTGCTGTTATTCTCCTTAAGATGAAGGCTTACAGAACAAAACAGTTTCTCATTTAACAGTTAGTACACATGTTGCCCTATGAAAATGGTTAACAACCTCACAACACATCAACACTATCCTTACTCAAACTTGGGTTGCCTATCACCAGCTTCCTTGTCCCCTTCTGCCTTCTGGCCCTTGTCCCTGGACTGCTGTACCTCATTAGTCCCATTTGGTTTTGTGAGGCTGTCCACTCCCAGGATGAACGGTGAACCTCGGAGATGACTTCACCACTGAGCTAAAAGGGTGTCTGGGGGCCATACTCTCAAGGTTTCTCCAGTCTCCTTTAGGCCAGTAAATCTGGTCTTTTTTTTTGTGAGTTAGAATTATGCTCTACATCCTTCTCCAGCTCTGTCCAGAACCCTCTTTTGTGATCCTGGTCAGAGCAGTCAGTGGTGGTAGCCGGGCATCATCTAACTGTACCGGACTCAGTCCGGTGGAGGCCTTGGTAGCTGTGGTCCATTAGTCCTTTGGACTAATCTTTTCCTTGTATCTTGTTCTCTTCATTCTCCCTTGCTCCTGAAGGGATGAGACCAGTGGAGTATCTTAGATGGCTGCTCACAGGCTTTTAAGACCCCAGACGCTACTCACCAAGGTAGAATGTAGAACATTGTCTTTATAAACTGTGTTATGCCAATTGAGCTAGATGTTCCCCGAGACCATGGTCCCAACAGCCCTCCACCCAGCAATTCAGTCCCTCAGGGAGTTTGGATGTGTCTGTGGAGCTTCCATGACCTTTCTTTGTACAAGTTGTGCTGGTTTCCCCTGTATTGTGTACTGTCTCACCCTTCACCCAAGATACCACTTTAAAAAAAGATTCTGCAGTGAAATTAAGGATCTTGCCAAGGATCTTTGCCTAAACTGTGTGACAAGATTTTGATTTTGTGTTATCTCATATAAGAGCTAGCATAGTGACATGCCCATAATAGGTGATGAATAAGTATTTTTTTTTAAATTGATTCATATGTTCTAGAGTGTTCTATTTACTAAATCACAGATTTTTGAATAAACTTTTTAAAAGTCAAATTAGCTTTGCATCAGTTCCCAGTGGAATGCTGTTTCTAGGTATAATTTATTGCTTAAGCAAATTGATACTTTCATTGATTATAAAAGGTGTTTAATGTTTTAAAAAACAGTTATATATTATTAGCTTGGAATCAAATGCTCTTGAGTCTTAGAATCAAGAGAATCCTATTTTCAGGCTTGACAAAATTGCTGCTTAATATAAACCAACCATCATTAAGTAAATGTGTAATAGAACCGTGGCATTTGTAGTTGTCACTCCACAAGTTACGCCACGTAATAATTTGTAATATTTCTGAGATAAGATTTTGAATAATGTATGCTGTTCTGTACTCATTGTTACCTCCATAGTAACTTCGCTGGGGTGGGGGCGTGAGGGAGAGTTTCATCTTTAAAAAGATGACCCTGAACAAAAGCCCACAAGTAGTATTACTGAGCACATGAAGAAAATGATCCAAATTATGATAGTCCTTGGCTTGAAAGTGGAGGTTTGAATAGATTAAAGAATGGAATATTAAATTTGTAGTGGCTAGTATCTATGGTAAGTTTATCATTTACTCAGTTGAGAAAGTGATTGGTAGATTTTCTTTAGTGAGGGCTGTAAGTAATGCAAAAATGACCTATTTAGTTAAAGGAAACGTGAAAAATCATTTAAAAATGTGGAGTAAAATGGACAAGGAGGCATAGGACTCTTGAATAAAATATGATTCAGGAGGAAACTAAGAACTTGCACAAACTTGGGTTTTTTTTTTTCCATTTTATTCAATATTATCTTTTTTTTTTTTTGTACTTTAGATGAAGGTTTACAGAGCAAAGTAGCTTCTCATTAAACAATTAATATGCATATTTTTTTATGACATTGGTTGCCAACCCCATGACATGTCAACTCTCTCCTTTTCTTGACCTTGGGTTCCTCATTACCAGCTTTCCTGTTCCCTCCTGCTTTCTCGTCCTTGCCCCTGGACTGGTGTGCCCATTTAGTCTCGTTTTGTAGGCCTGTCTGATCTTTGGCTGAAGGGTGAAGCGCAGGAGTTGTACAAATGTTTTTGTGAAAAAAATAGTTGGAAAAGATTCATAGTGCAGCTCATAACCAATCTTAATCAAGAATTAAGATTGTTTTGAAAATTTAAGCTTTTCTACTTGCATAATGTGACAATATGTCAGAACCATTTACAGATTATGTTTTCTCCAGGACAGAAGCAGTTCAAGAGGGAAAAGAGTTATATGCTGGAACAAGTGTTTTAATATAGGTGAAATCAGTTTACTATATTGGAAGAAAAAGCCACTTTAAGGCATACTTATTTATATTTATAGTTTGCAAGAATATCACATTTTCACGTATAGGATTTATGATCTAAAATCACTGATTTTGCTCTACTATATGATTAAACCCTTGAGCATTTCAGAAGCAAGGGTAAGAGCCTTTTGCTTGTGTATTGTCAGTCCAATAAAGAAAAAAGTTTGTGCTATGGCATAGTTCTTTTGAACTAGTTTCTTGAGAGCTCTAGGGAAAATTAGAAAGGATTTCTAGATATGTCTCCCTCATATATCCAGGCCAACTGGATATTTATTGAGACAAAACAGTTTTTTTGATTGAATGAATAAATAAAAGAAGGGCTGACATAACTTGTGAGTGTTGATAATTGACAGGTGTTAGCCATAATATTTCTGCCTTCCATCGGATACTGGATTGATTACTTTTGTGGTTACTGCCAAGCAGAGTGACATTTCTGTGCTTTGTATTTTACAGGCGTATGTCGTGGAAGACAGTAAACAGCTTATTTTGGAAGGTCAGCATCATGTTATTCTTCGCACTATAGGAAAAGAAGCCTTTTCATATCCTCAGAAACAGGTAATAGCATAGATTATAGCTTGTTTTTGGGTTTTCCTATGAGCTTGTAAGTTTTTTGGTTTGTTTGTTTAGTTGGTTTTTGTGTTTTTGAGGGGTCCGGATTATGCAGGCATTGTGTTGGAATTTGGAGGGGGCCGCAGTTGATAGCAGAAAACTGATTAAAATTAGAAATGAATGTAAATTGATTTTAAAATGTCTTAGCACCTTTATAAGAGTGTTAAGATGCATTCACAGTCTTGGGATTCTACATTGAATCTAGAATTTATAGCTATACAAAGAATTGATTTGCTTGAGAGGAAGGGAAGCAAATTCTCTGTATTTTCTTATTTGTAATAGGGTCGCACCATTGCAGCACTTCAGGGGGCATATCGTAAAATGTGAATGGTGGCCTCTGGAGTTGTGCAGCAGTTGGTAATAGCATTTAATATACTTTCTTATTTTTCCTAAAGTACTATTTAATCTTACCAAAAAAATTCTTATATATGAGCAAAATTTAAGCACATTTAGGCCAGTAATTCAGACAGTGACTGTGCATTGTGTTAATGTTGTTAGCTGCCGTCAAGTTGGGCCCTGACTTGTGGTGACTCCATGTACATCCCCATTCTTGGTTGTGGATCTGATCCATGTGATCCATAGGGTTTTCACTGGCTGATTTTCAGAAGTACATCACTAGGCCTGTCTTCCTAGACTGTCTCACTTAGGAAGGAAGCTGTGCTGAAATCTGTTTGGCATCGTAGCAACACATAAGCTTCCAATGACAGACGGGTGGTGGCAGCACATGAGGCACATTCGCCAGGAGTCGAATTTGATAATGGATCTTAATTTTCAAGCTTTTTTCGATTATTTTTAACAACTTTTTATTTTGAAATAATTTTCATACTTAGAGCAAAGTTGCAGGAGTAGTACAAAGAACTTCCTTAAACCTTTTACTCGGGTTCACTGGTGGTTAACATTTTGTCACATTTGCTTTAATCATTCTTTCTCTATTTTCATACATATTCATTTATTTTTCTTAATCATTCTCGAGTAATTACTTTCAAGTAAGTTGCAGGCATCCTGCCTCTTTACCCCTAAATACTGAGTATTTCCTAAGAACAAAGACGGTCTCTTACATAATCCTAAGAACTATTATCAAATTCAGGAAGTTTAGTGTTGATGAAATACGGTTACATACAGTCCATATTCCAGTGCCATAAAGGTCTCAGTAATATTTTTATAACTGTTTTTTTCCAGTCCAGAATTTAGTCCAGGTCATGCATTGCATTTGGTTGTCATGTCTTTTTAGCCTCCTTGAATCTAGGACAATTTCTCAGCTTTTCTTCGTCTTTTATGACATTGATATTTTTGAACCACATAAATCAGTTACTTTGTAGAATAATACCTCTTTGGAGGTTTCCTCATTATTAATTCAGATTATACATTTTTGTCAGAAATACTGCTTAAGTGATGTTACATCCTACTCAGTGTATTACATCAGAAGGCACATGACATTAATTTGTCCTATTATCAATGATGGATCATTTGATTAAGGTGGTGTCTCTCAGGTTTATCCACAGTAAAGTTACATAATAGGTAAATTGTGGGGATATAATTTGGGACTATGTAAATGTCTATTTTCTTATCAAACTTACATCCAGTAATTTAGCACCCATAGATTCTGTAACTCAATCACTTTTTACTTTGATAGTTACATAATGGTAATTTTCCACTAGGTTTAGTGGAGCCATCAGATTTAACCCAAAATATGTTGCTTATTTTTAAAAAATTGCTGCTTTTTCCTGTTTGATTAATATAAAAAATTCTGAGCTTTTTTTCTAAATTTCATGAACTTTTGAAAATTTGAGATGTCTCAAACAGTGGCAAGCAAGACAGCATTTAGAAAATCAAATTATATAAAATTTACTCTATGGTTATGTTCCCATTTTATATACTATGTATGGCATTACCTTTTTATTTATCTGTATATCACTTTTGAAACATTCATATTCTCTTTATATGATTAACTAAACTTGGGAGATAATAGGCAGTTTCATCATACTGTAAGTAATGGATTTGGAGCGCAAAGACTTTCCAGATTGATGACTTAGTGTAAATTACTTAAAGTATGAGCCTTACATTACTACTAACTTGTAAAATAGGGATAATAGTATTTTACACTTTGCTTCTCTTGTGGAATTGTCATAAAGTAAAATTCAGTACTTATTGTGAAGCTACTGTATAAATTGTCACGAATTGTAAAAATCCTTGTTACTCTTAAGCTGGGTGAGAGAGCAAAACTCTTGTAAATATTTTCTCAGTAAATTTGCTTCAGGTTTTTGCTATCCTTTTATGGTTCACATGTTTTCTTCCTGACAGAAATTTATTCAGCATTATTTAGAAGTCTCAAATAATAGCTTGTTTTCTGTGGTGATTAGAATATTTAAACAGTAATATAAAGCGTAACACAAATACAGAAAAATATATACTCACTGAATTTTCACAAATTGAAGAACACTTCAGTATAACTAGCACCCAGAAATAGAACATAACCATCTTCTCATAAGTTCCGCTCCTGCTTACGGTACTTCTGATCAAAAAGCTACACCCTCCAGAGTAAACTTCTAGTCATTTCTCTCTAACTTATAACATCATGTAAGTAAAAAGCTAAACTGGTTTTTAAAAATTTATATACATGGAATCATATGTTCTACTTTGTCTGGCTTCTTTTGTCCAGCATTCATGCTTGTGAGTTTTATCCATTTTATCTTTGTACTTGTAATTCATTCATTTGCAGCAAACATTTAAACTTAAAACTTACCTGCCATTCTCCAGTAAAAGGAAGCAGGGCTCCTTAGAGAAATGATTGATTCTAGAGCTTGGGCAGGGATAATGCAAGATGAACTGGAAGATCTTACGGCGTCAGAAAGTAAGGAAGTGCCCTAAAACCGATGTTGAATTTATGTGTTTTTTGTAGATTACAAGGTCATTTTCTCTTTCGATTTTCATAAATTTCTTCAAGCAAAGCAGGTAGAATTATCCCCATTTTACAAATGAGGCTCCATGGAATAAGTACAGCTATATTATTTCATGACATTTTTCATTCTTATGAAATTGTCTGAAAGAAGATAGAGCTCTCTTGAATCAAATGTTTCTGTTTCATTAGTTTTTACATTGCTGCATCTATTCCCTAGGGAGGCTTATTTGTTGGGGTTATATTTATCTGCTTTACTACAGGCTAATTTACTAATTTCCTACAAACTCTGGGGACAGTACCTAGTACATAATAAGTATGTGGTAATTATTAAATGAATAAATTAAAATGCTATACTAAATTCACTCTATTATGTTAAGAAACCAAAACTGTTTTAACTAGACATGAGTTGCTCAGTAATACTAATAATTTGCATACAAACAGATAGTACACAATAAACTTTAAAGTTGCTAGTTTCAATACTGCAGTTCTGTTGTTGTTGTTAGGTGCTGTCCAGTTGGTTATGACTCATAGCGACCCTATGTACAACTAATGAAATACTGCCCCGTCCTGCAGCGTCCTCACAATTGCTGCTGTGTTTGAGCCCCTTCTTGCAGCCACTGTGTCAGTCCATCTTGCTGAGGGTCGTCTTTTTTTTTGCTGATCCTCTACTTTACCAAGCATGATGTCCTTCTCTAGGCACTGGTCCCTCCTGATAACATGTCTAAAGTACATGAGATGAAGTATTTCCATCCTCGCTCCTAAGAAGCATTCTGGCCGTACTTCGTCCACGACAGGTTTGTTTGCTCTTCTGGCAACCCATGGTATAGTCAATACTCTTCTCCAGCACCATAATTCAAGTGCATCAGTTCTTCAACAGTCTTCCTTATTCATTGTCCAGCTTTTGCATGCATATGAGGCAGTTGAAAATACCATAGTCAGGCACACCTTAGTTCTCATAGTGACATCTTGCTTTTTAACACTTTAAAGAGGACTTTAGCAGAGATTTGCCCAGTACAATATGTCAGTTGATTTCTTGACTCCTGCTTCCATGGGTGTTGATTGTGGATCCAAGTAAAATGAAATCCTTGACGACTTCAATCTTTTCTTTGTTTATCATGATGTAGCTGATTAGTCCAGTTGTGAGGATTTTTGTTTTGTTTATGTTGAGGTGTAATTCATACTGAAGGCTGTAGTCCTTGGTCTTCATCAGTAAGTGCTTTAAGTCCTCTTTGCTTTCAGCAAGCAAGGTTGTCTGATCTGCATATCCAGGTTATTAATGAGTCTTCTTCCAATCCTGATACCCCGTTCTTCCTCATATAGACAGTTCAGCTTCTTGGATTATTTGCTCAGTGCACAGATTAAGTATGGTGAAAGGATACAAACCTGATGCACACTTCTCTTGACTTTAAACCACGCAGTATCCCCTTGTTCTGTCCAAACAACTGCCTTTTGGTTTATGTATGGATTTCTCATGAGCATAATTGAGTGTTCAGGAGTTCTCAGTGTTAATCTATAATTTGTTATGATCCACACAGTTGAATGCCTTTGCATAGTCAATAAAACACAGGTAAACATCTTTCTGGTTTTCTCGGCTTTCAGCCAAGATCTGTCTGAAGTCAGCGATGACATTCCTCATTCCACATCCTCTTCTAAATTCGGCTTGAATTTCTGGCAGTTCCCTGTCAATGTAGTGCTGCAACTGTCTTTGAATTATCTTCAGCAAAATTTTACTTGAGTATGATATTAATGATACTGTATGATAATTTCCACATCCTATTGCATCACCTTTCTTTGGAATGGGCACAGATATGGATCTCTGCCAGTCCGTTGGCCAGGTAGCTGTCTTCCAGATTTCTTGGCATAGACAAGTGAGCACCTCCAGTGTTGCATCATTTGTTGAAACATCTCAGTTGGTATTCTGTCAGTTCCTGGAGCTTTGGTTTTTGCCAATGCCTTAGTGCAGCTTGGGCTTCTTCTTTCAATACCATTTTGTCTTGATCTGTGCTACTTCCTGAAATGGTTGAACGCTGACCAGTTCTTTTGGTGC